AGCTGCGCGCCCTCGGGCCCGGCCCCCGCCGGCCCGCCCGGCTCATGCCCAGCCCCACCTTCGACCTGGCCCGGCTCTATGCCCGGGCCGGGCATGCCCTCGAGGACATGCTGCTGGACTGTCGCTACCGCAGTTGGCCATGCGGGCCAGAGAACTTCACCACGGTGAGCTGGCCACCGACCTCTCCAGCCGGGGACCTGGGACCCACAATCCCGGGTCTTGCTGGCCCAGGCTCCCTCAAAGCCAGGGAACCTTAACATCTGTGCTTTTGGGTCCTTTCCTTCCCAGTCAGGCCATGACCTCCCACGGCCTTTCTGTTCAGTCCAGGAAGCTGTCCTCCTTGGGCCCCGCCCTGCCACTCAGCTGGATGGCAGTGTGCAAAGTTGCACCTCCCAGCAAGGGGCACTCACCCAGGCTGGCTCTGGGCCCAAGGTCTAGTCTGTAGAGACCCTGCTTTTGGGGCGTGGGGGGTAACTGGTGTTGTAGGGCAGGAGACCCCCCTCTGCCAGGGGGAAGGGGCTTGTCTGCTTCCTCAACATTTGGCCAGACCTGGAAGATGGTAACTGGGACCTTCATCCTTTGACACCTGTCTCCGAAGAAATGCTTGGCCTATAGGCTGTGCCCTGGGCTGGGAGTGGAGGGGAGAAGCTGAGTGATGGGAGCCCATGAGGGTCCTAATACATGTGCCTGTAAGAGGGAGGGTCGGGGGCAGTAAGAGGTGGACTCCAGTGTTCAAAGAAGAGACCCAAATAGAGAGAGGATGGGGAGGGAAAATGTCCCACGGTCCTCGTGTTGGCCCAGGGGAAAGAGCTGGCGGGGCTCCTTGTTCCTGGGTGAGATCTGTCATCTGTCTTTCCACCCCCAGATCTTCACCCGGATGGGACAGTGCTACACCTTTAACTCCGGCGCCGAGGGGACGGAGCTTCTCACCACTCCCAAAGGCGGCATGGGGAACGGGCTGGAGATCATGCTGGACGTGCAGCAGGATGAGTATCTGCCCGTGTGGAGGGACATGGGTATGGGAGCACACGTGTGAGGCTGGGGGTGCACAGCTCGGGTGGCTCTGGGAAGGAGGGGGGGATGGTGAGGGCCCCCAAAGGCTGTCCTTCCTTGTGAGGAGAAAGCAGGGTTAGCTGGTCACAGTCCTAGGGAAAAGGGGCTGCAGCAGAGGGTCTCCTGGGACTCGAGCCTCAGGGTCCCACTTCCACTGCAGAGGAGACCCCATTTGAGGTGGGGGTCCGAGTACAGATCCACAGCCAGGAGGAGCCGCCACTCATTGACCAGCTGGGCTTCGGGGCAGCCCCTGGCTACCAGACTTTTGTGTCCTGCCAGAAGCAACAAGTATCCTCACTGGTGCCTCCCAAGCCCCAGGCTCCCAAGCCCCTCCTCAGCCCACACCACCTTAGACCCCAACCGCCAGCTCCTCAAACCTGTTCCAGTGACCTCACATCCTCCCCAGGCCCACGCTTCTCCCAGAGCCTCCTTAACACATCCCTCTACAGCTGAGCTTCCTACCGCCGCCCTGGGGTGATTGCAGCTCTGTACCTCTGGACCCTGACTTTGAGCTAGAACTCTCTGGTCCTCTGGGTCCCTCCAGTCCCAGCCCAGGCCCCAGCCCTCCATATAGTCTAATGGGGTGTCGCCTGGCCTGCGAGACACGCTATGTGGCTCGTAAGTGCGGCTGCCGAATGATGCACATGCCTGGTAAGGGGCTGGGAGCAGCAGAGGAAGAGGGCCAGGGGTGAGGGTAGAGAGGCCTGGGGGTCCACTGCTGAAGCTGTCTCCTCTGCTCCCCGCCCCAGGCGGCGCGCCAGTGTGCAGCCCCCAGCAGTATAAGGACTGTGCCAGCCCAGTGCTGGGTAAGCAGCAGGCCTCCCCAGCATCCTGTCCCCAGTCCGCTTGGCCCGCGACCCCAACCCCGACCCTGCAGGGCGTGCAGCCTTGACCGGGCGCCTGTGGCCTGCAGACGCCATGCTGCGGAAGGACGCGTGCACCTGCCCCAGCCCCTGCGCCAGCACGCGCTACGCCAAGGAGCTCTCCATGGTGCGGATCCCCAGCCGCGCCTCCGCCCGCTACCTGGCCCAGAAACACAACCGCAGCGAGGCCTACATCACGTGAGCCGGGTCGAGGGGCTGGGGGCCGGGCCGGCACCCTCCTCCGGGTCCAGCCTCCATTCGCAAACCCGGGTGGGACACCAGTCTGTCCATTTTCACGGGGCTCAGGGACTCTGGGCAAGCTGCTTAACATCTCTGACGTCTCTTCTGAAAAGGGGGACGGTGACACCCCTCCCCAGAGCTCATGAAAGGACCAGAGAACAGGGCACCTGTTTCTGCAGGCAGCTGGCACTAGGCAAACGCTCTCGGACTCCCTTCCTCCAGGGAGAATGTGCTGGTGCTGGACATCTTCTTTGAAGCCCTCAACTATGAGACGGTGGAGCAGAAAAAGGCCTATGAAGTGTCTGCCCTGCTTGGTGTGTATGTGTGTGTGTGTGTGCACCCTGCAGTCTAGGGAGGTGTGGACAGAAAGCACCTGTGAGCTGACAGGTGACCCTGTCTCCGCAGGTGACATTGGCGGCCAGATGGGGCTGTTCATTGGGGCCAGCCTGCTCACTATCCTTGAGATCTTGGACTTCCTCTGTGAGGTGGGCCTGGGTCCCAGCCTGGGGTGAGAGGTGGGCAGAATCAAGCCACAGGATCCAGGGGGAAGGCATGCACTGGCCACCTCCACCACTGCTCACCCCCAGGTGTTCCGGGACAGAGTCCTGGGATACTTTTGGAACCGGAAGCGCTCCCAAAGGCACTCCAGCACCAATCTGGTAACAGCCCCCTCCTTCTGCCCTGCCATCTCCACTGTGGGTGCTCAGCCCCTCCCCCTGAAGCGTAGACCACCATTCCTACCCAGCTGAGAAAAAAAGTGGTGGGGGAGGGCACAGTTTCCTTGGCTAGTCTCTCCCGGCCTCTGACCCTCTCCCTCCTCCCACAGCTTCAGGAAGGGCTGGGCAGCCATCGAACCCAAGTTCCCCACCTCAGCCTGGGCCCCAGGTAACAAGAAATGCCCCATAAAGTCAAGGGAGGAGGGGCAGGTCCCAACCAGAGGGTGAAGTTTAGGTCTGGGAGGACAGGGGCAGGAGCAGGGCTGTGTCCCAGTGCTGTGGTCTGTGTCTCACCAGGCCTCCCACCACTCCCTGTGCTGTCACCAAGCCTCTCTCTGCCTCCCACCACACCTGCTACCTCGTCACCCGGCTCTAGACTGGATGTCTGTATCTTCGGGGCCCCACCCCAACATCCAGGATGTGGCCAGCTTGCATGCGTCTTTGCTCTCTTCATCCCAAATAAAGTTCTAGTACATCAGCCTCAGCGGTCCCTCTTACAGGCAGGCTAGCCCGGCCAAAGTCCACCCTGCTCAGGCACAAGGCCTCTGCCAGCCATCATCCAACGACGTGATGCCTGAAATGCCAACCAGCAGAAATCTGTCTTTGAGAGAAGAGTAGTAAGACAGCATGCAGTCAGTGCACCTCAGTGTGAATGAATCTGTCAAACCAGCATCTCAGAGAGAGCGGAGATCAGAGCCAGGCGTGAAGGCAGGGAGGAGGCAGTGGTAGGACAATCAGTTGCGGGTCCTACAAGGGAAGAGCTGGAGAAAGAATCTGACCCAGAGCCAGGAAGACTTGGGGGAGCAGGCGGGGAGAAAACAGGGCACTAGCCCACTTCCAAGAACACAAGCTGCAGTCCTGTCTCAGGAGATCATGACTCTTCTTCTCACATTTGGGACCAAGCGCCAGCTTGCCCACCCCTCTCCATGGGAACCAGTCTTGCTTCCCCAGCCTCTCTGCAAGAGAAGGCCCCAGCCTGAGACGGGGAGAGGAGGCATTCCCTTCCCACTCCTGCCAGCAAGGACACATCCAGGCCCAGCCATGGCCCACTTTCCCACTCTTTCTCTGCATCCTAACTATTGGAAAAGGACAAGTAAGGGAACAGGGGAGGGGGTGTTCCTACCCACATCTTTGGGTCTCTCCTGCAGGCTCAGGTGTAGGGGGATGAAGAGGGAAGAGGTGGGGCAGGCACACGTGGGATAAAGAGAACCACAAAAAAAGGCCCGGCTCTTTTCTCCCAATTCTGGTGGAAGCCCATCGCTGCTCTCAGACACTGGCGGTCTAACCCCTCAGGACCCGCCCTCCTGGGCAGAGGAGAAAGGGACATGCATGAGTGCACAGGCACATGTGTGGGGACAGCACTGCCCCTAAGCCCAGACCATAAAGGGTAAGGGTCAGAGCCTCCACCCTCCAGCTTCCAGCCCGTCACTTAGAGTGGCCGAGCCAGGACCAGACAGTTGGGTTGTGTTTGGACTGGAAGCAGGGCTGCAGAGGGAGAGGAGACGAAGCAGAGATTCCCCGACCCAGGCCCCACCCCCAAGCCACTTTACCACATCAGCCAGACTGTGGGAAAGGAGCCAATTTATGAAATTAAATAAAGTCCATGGAGGGCGTGAAGAACACGGGTGAGGGCACCTCCATCCTGGCCGGGTCCAGCACAGCTGGAGCTCAGCACACCGTGCATCCCTGCCTTTCCTCCCCTCCCCAGAGGGGGCTTAAATAGGCCAGGCCCCAGCCTGGTGGCCGAGGCTGGAGCCTAGGGAGGGCAGAAGTCGGAGAAGTAGGGGTGCTGCAGGGCCTCTTCTGCTGAGATGCGCTGGACGGGGTTACACTTTAGGAGGTTCTGGAAGCAGAGAAGGGGCAGCAGGTTCAGGCCCAGAGCTTCGCACTCCCCGAGTCCCTCCCGACTAGCGCCCTGCCCTCGGTCACCTGCAGCAGGTCCCTCCCTGTGGCGTTGAGCTTGGGTACAACGTTCACCAGGGACGTTGTGGCCGGGTACATCGGGTAGGGCTGTAGGGGACAGGGAGACTCAGACTAGGGCTGTGGGGGCAGGGAGGCTGCTAGGGACATGAACTAGGGGGGGGGCCAGAGGTGAACCCCGACCCCCCATTCCCCATCACACCTTATAGTCTGGCAGCTTGGTCATGGCAGGCCACTGCTCCTCGGTTGGTGTCCCCAGCAGCGTGTCCACAGGGTCAAGGATCACTCAGGTGCAAAGGGGCAGGTGAGGGGCTCTTCCCCTCCTGGGTTCCCCACCCTCCTCACTTTATCCCCCAGCTCATGATGGAAGCCGCCCCCCACACCTGCGATGCTCATCTTCAGTCCCACCTGTGTGCTGTTTTCGGAGGGCCAGGTGCTTTACAGACGTTAACTACTTTGACCCAAATCCTGACCCAAGACCTGATGTCTGTGGTCCTAATGAAGCAGTCAGCCCTCCCCTACTTCACTTATCATCCTCCTGTTCCTTTCGACTCCTTGGTCCTTGTTCGGCAGCTCTTAGCTGGAGAAGTGTGCACTTGGCTTCCTCTGCCAAGAAGCCCTCCTTATCTACAGGCCACACACTCTCCAGCCAGAACCATGCACCTGCCCTGCCCGGTGACAACCAGGGTGTCTACTACCCTCTGCCCTCAAGAGAAGTCCCCAGGCACCCCCAGTCCTGACCCAGCCCATCACAGCCCTCCCTCCCTGCACTCTAAGCTCCGTGGCTGCCTACTCCCCTTCCCGAGGGTGTGAGATGAAGGGAGATGGGAGGATATCGGAAGATCCTCTTCAACTGGTCATCTACGTCGTTGCCAGGAAAGAGAGGCCGCCCCGCGTTGGCCAGCTCTGGGTGAGAGGCGAGGGGACAAGGGGAGGTGACCCAGGAATAACCCCTCTCACCCACGGCACCACCTGTGCCTTCCATCCCCATCCCAGAGGCCCCACTCCCTTCCCCAGAGGGGACTCTCCAGACCCCATCTGTCCACTTAAATGGGAGAGAGAGTGCCTCTGCAGACCCCAGCATGTCACCTGCGAAGATGCAGCCAGCTGACCACATGTCAATGGACGTGGAGTACAGCTTGGCCCCGAAGAGGACATCCGGTGGGCGGTACCACAGCGTGACCACCTGGAGAAGACCCCACCCACGGGGACCCCCTAGTTAGTGGGCTTGGGAGGAAAGAGCTCAGAGAGGAGAGGAAAATAATGTTTGGGGTCCTGGAATAGGAGTTGGGAGACACTCCTTGGGGACTCCCTCCCTCATCCCCAAGTGCCATCCCGCCACTCACCTCAGCTGAGTAACAGCGAACAGGGATCCCAAAGGCTCGAGCCAAGCCAAAATCAGCCAATTTCAGCTCCCCGTTCTGAGGGCACGGGAAGGGGCGTGGAGGGGCTTTTCAACAGTCTCGGGGCAGGCCACGCGCTCAGGCCCCGAGCTCCCACCCTCCCGCCCCGCTCCTCACTCCGTGCCAGCCCAGATGTCCGGCCCTCTCCCAGAGAGGTACCCTGTTTATGAGCAGGTTCTGAGGCTTCAGGTCTCTGTGTAGCACGTTGCGGCTGTGACAGAATCCCAGGCCTTTTAGCAGCTGGAAGAGGAACGACTGGGGGAGGGGCAGGGAGGAGGTCATCAGACCCTCCTGATAGGAAGCTCGCCCAGCAATGGAGCACGCGCCCCTCTTCACCCTCTGCTTTGCCCTGAAACCCCCCCGGGCTTTCAGCACCAAGCTCGCACGACATCCTTCCTTCACTAATGAGGACCTACTTTGTACTGTGCTGAGTATTCAAAATGAACGGTGATGGGGACCCTGGTCCCCACTTTCTGAAATTGACAGCTTAGTGGGCCTTCCTCCCTTTCCAGCCTACACTGATCTCTCCCCTTCCTGGCCTCATTTAAACGCGTACATCATAACCATCAATATATATATATCGTGCTGTATTATTATTCAGCACTTGTTTCCCCAGGAACCTGGGACAAGGCACTTAGTCTTGGACCTAGAACTGTGCCTGATACACAGCAAAGCATTCAGTAAGTATTTGTGGAATGAATGAATGAATGTATCTCTTGGAACCTCATCTTCCCACTTCTCAAATGTAAACCACATCACTGACATCAGAGTGTTACTGTCAGGTCAAAGAGATCACAAGAAAATGCCCTCTAAGATGGAGGTAGTAACAGGGTATTCTCCTTCTCCTACGCCCCGGAGGGGCCCCAGAACTCGGCACTCAGCAAGCACGTTCACTGAATATAGACTCCAATCCCATCCTCAAGGAGCTCCCAGAATGCCAGTTCCCTCACCTTCACAATTTCAGGATCTAGGTCACCATTGCAGCTGTCGAAATACTTCTTCAGGTCCTAAAAAGGGATGGGGGTGGAGGAATGGGACAGCGTTTAACCTCAGTCTGGGTCCCTATACCCTCCCAAGGCTGCTGTCCCTCGAGCCCCTCTTCACCTGGTCACAGAACTCAAATACCAAAGTCAGCTTCTTGTCGCTATGCAGGACGTCATGGAGCCTAGGGAGAAGGGAGAGCTGAGCCAGTCAGGGCCACAAGTTTGCTCCTAACATTCTGGTATCAGCCCAGCCCATCTCTGAAGCCCCCACCTCCTCCAAATGACCACACAGGCAAGGAGGACCCCACCCATCTACACACCTGACAATGTTCTTGTGCTTCAGCTCTTTGAGTAGGCAGATTTCCCGAAGGGCTGAGCTTGGCACTCCCTACACATTGGAGGGGACCGGGTGGGCAGCAGTCACATCCCACCCAGCCTAGGCCCGTCACCCCTCCCTGGTCCCAATGCCCCAGTCCTACCTCATCATCGTCATCCAGCCTCACCCGTTTCAGAGCTACAATCTCATGAGTCTCTCGGTTTTTTGCCTTGAACACTGTTCCGTAGGTGCCTAGAGGAAGGAGGTCAGGGGTGAGGGAAAGGATGGGGCACCCTTCCCCAAACCAGGAAGTCCCTGCCAGGAGAGCAGGCAGTGTGGGAACGTGTTACTTCTGATGCCTGGAGGAGTAAGGGAAGAGATTCAGGGTGTAGGCTCGGCATGGAACGTTCTGTGGGGAGTGGGGATGTGGCAGAAAGGGGCCTGCAGATAGATGGCTTAAGGGTGTGTGCAACAGGGAGAGGCTGCTGCTGCCAGGGTAAAGAGGTCTATAATAGAGGCTGTGCTTCTGGAGGGCCTGGAAATAGTGAGCAAGGGTCTGGAAGAGGAATGAGGGCCAGCAGGAACGTTGAGGTTGAGGTCTGCAGCGAGAACTGAGGCTAGGCAGTGGGTGACGCTGGGCAAGTGGTGCTGAGGATAGGGGTAGGAAACGCAGGGCGTGCAGAGGTCGGGAGGTGGGTCTACAAGAAGTGCTAAGGATGGGAGGGAGCGTCTATGGAAAATGCTAACAGGGGGAGGATTGGTGTCTGCACAGAGTGTTGAGCTTGGGGCCAGGGCTGCCGCCAGAGCTTGAGGTCAGGGTCCCTGGGTATTGCTGAAGGTAGAGGAGTCAGGGCTGCAAGGAATGCTGAAGGGTCTGCAGAAGAAGATCTTGCAGGAACATCTCGTGGTCCCCATTACCTTCCCCAATCTTCTCCAGTTTCTCGTATTTCTGCATCGCGGCCGCCGCGCGGGGACCCTTGCGGGCCCTGGGTTCTAAGACTCCGGGCCCGGCGTTGCAGAGGAGGCGGCACCCCCGCCTCCGGCTCTGCCCCGCCCTCCTGCCTGCGCATGGGCTTCTGGGGCTTGTAGTCCTAGCCCTCCAGGTTTCCCTGTAATACCCAGGGCCTTAGACAACATGAAGACTACAACACCCAGCAGGCTGCGCTCAGGCTCTCTGCAGCACTCGCCTCCCGGGACTCTTGTTCGACCGCGGAGGCAAACCTTGGACTTCAAATCCCAGGAAGCACCGCGTGTCCGCTTCCCCGGCTCCCCGCCGTCGCGCGCGGCTCCCAGTGTGCCCTGCTCGTGCTGTTCCTTTCAGTGATTACAACCTTATTTTGAAAAAGGCCTCTCCGGGACTACACATTCCAGAATGCTGCGGGGGTGGGGGTGGGGTGGGGCCCTTTCCAAAACCTTTTTGGGTTTTGGCGGCCTGCATCACGAGTCCAGGTGGCCCTGCCCTGACCCTGGTTGATGATGTTGAAGTCCCAATGTCCTCCTGAAAATCTCAGCGCGACTTTCCACCTCTCCCTAGGCCATCTGGTAACCTCAGGATTGGCTGGGGAATGGCTCTGAGCCATGTCTTGCTGATGATGACTTCACAGGGACCAGCTGACCACAGGGCTGGAAAGAGGCAGGTGTGCCCCATTAGAGACCGGATTTACCGTAGGCCAGAGAATTCTCTTCTGGGCCCCGTTTGTTGACTCCAGCCGTTTGCTACATTCTGATAGTCCGAGGAAAGTTGGCTGGAGCACTAGGAGTACCTCTCTTCCCCTCCCCATACGAGTCTGCAGAGCCTGGACCCAGTGGAGTCAGCCAGGGTGTGGCTGAGGGCTAGTAGGTTGGTTACCGCCATCAACAGACAGAAGCACAGACAGATGCTACACTTGAAGCAGCCTTGACCTCATCCCTTAAGGAGTTGATTATAGATTTTCTTGCGGCTGCTCTCTAATTGTCTCATGATTGCATTCTTGAGGGCTGTGAACTGATGAAAATTGCCCCAAATAGCACTCCTCAGCTCCGGAACCAGAGTTGGTGCTAGCATTTGTTAATTAACTCGTTTATATCTGAACATCTTATGAATACCCAACACTGTGCTCACTCGGTGGCACACTAAAGAAAAGAAGCAAAACGTATGTTCCTTATCCAGAAGAATTTATAGTTAAGAAACCCAGAAGCACGCACAGAGATCTTTAAATGACAGATGATGACTATGAATAGGGTTTGAGGAGGGAGGTCACCGGAGGGAATCTCTCCGAGGCAGAAGCTCCCCGGTTCGGAAAGCCTACGTCAGCCCAGAGTAATGGGCATCCAGCCTCCAGCCGCCATCACCCTTATCGCCCCCCTCTACTGTCCTCCTGGCAAAGACAGGGTTTTGGAGGCGCTGGAGATACCGGGGGTGGAGGCGAAAGCCGCGGGTGGGCGAGAGAGAATCTTGACCCCGATGCATTTATATTTCAACTTCCTCCGCCCCTAATTTCCTGATCATCTTTGTGCCTCCGTTTTCCTGCCTGGGATCCTCAGTGTGAGGCGGGCCCCTTTCCGCCCAGAGGTGTATAATGGGCCCAAGAGACGGCCTCCCCAGGGCGCCCGAGCCCCGTGCGGGGAAGCCTCGCGGGACCGCGGCGAGGGACTGGGGGGGCCGCCTCCTCGGCGCTGGGCTCCGGGAGCCGGGCAGTGCCTGGAAGCGCGCCTCCGCCCCCGGGTCTCGGCCCCCGCTCCCCGCCTCCCTACCCGCGGCGACGGGGCCGCGCACGGTGCGCCGGGGGGCGCGCACGCAGGGGGCTGGCCTGCCCGCGGCGCGGGGGAAAGTTGAGTTGGGAGAAGTTGGGAGCGGCGGGGGCGCGCCCCAAGGTGGGCACGGGGGAGTCGTCGGGAGCGCGCGAGGGCGCCAGAGAAGAGGGAGAGACCCGGAGACCCCGAGAGTACGAAGTCCAGAGGAAGCGGGTAAGCGGAGAGGTGGCGGCAGGGGAGGGCCAGGGCCGCGGAGGGAGGAAGGGAGGGGGAAGGAAAGGGGGGAACTTGGGACTCGGAGCGGGGAGGGAGTGGAAGTGCAGGAAAGGGCGGAGACTGGGGCGCGGAGAAGCGAGATCTTGGGGAGAAGGATGGGGAGGCGAGCGAAGTGATTAATGATCGCAAGCGGGATCTAGGGTCCTCTTAGAATTCCCTAAAGCGAGGGTGCCGCGCCCCCTGCCACCAGGAGGGGGTAGTTTCAGTGAGGCGCGCCGGCCCTCCCAACTCCTGGGCGAGCTCCAGACGACATCTGTCCCCTGCGACCCCCTACTCTGTCCTTCGCTCGTTGGGGGCGCCCTGCCTAGGGGGTTGCCCCGAGCCTCTTCCCCTCGATCTAGAGGTTGGGAGGCGGAGCCGGGAAGGGGGGTGGCGGGTCGGGTCAGGACAAGGGGTCAGGCAGAGGAGGGAGCAGCTGGGTGGGGATGGGAAAGACGAGCCTGGAGAGTTCGACCTAACTCCTGGGGGGGCTGGCTTGTCTGGGTGGGGAGCGCTCTGTGCTGGGTGTGGGGGCGGCGCTATCTGCAATCCAGAATCCATTTTACCCTCCTCCCCTTTGCCCCCCCCCCCACCGCCAGCCCCACTTCGAGGAACTGTGGAATGTGCAAATTCACTTGGGGGCCGTTAATGCCCATGTGGGGGTCCAGAGTGCTAATCCCTTGGGCAGGGGTATAGATGCTAATCCTCCGGGCCGGTCGGGGCTGGTCCCCGGAATGTGCCCCCACCCCGGATTATCGGCACCCGATGCTCTGGACAGAAGCTGCTTTGTGTTCTGGGACCGTGGGGGAGGGGGAGGGTGTGCGGAGGTAAAGGGAGGAGGGGAGGATGGAGGAGCACATTGAGGGCACAGCCTGGAGATGGGAGTGGGGCACTTGCAGGTACTCAGGACACTCCTTCCCAGACCAGGTTTCCTCCCCCAGTGCCCTGGCTGAAGGCCTGCTAGGGGGAGGTTAGGAGAGCGGTCAGCTGAGTTGCAATGCCTGCCAGGAATGTGTCTCTCCAGGCTCCCCACCCTGGGCTGACCCCCTAGACCTACATTGTTTGACCCTACACTGACCTGTTTTATCCCTGAGTTAACCCTAAATCCAGTAACCCTGACCCCCCCAACAACACACTGGAGAACTTCAGTACTTTTGGAATCACAGAGTCTTGGGTGCCCTCTGCGCTCCCCCCACGAGGAATAGGTACCCCAACTGGCTCTAGTCAGGTCCCTAACCACAACCTTTCTGCCCTCCTCCCCGCATAGACAGTGTCCTTCCCAGATGCCCCTACAGTCACAGTCAGGAGGGCATCAGCCCTGTCACTCAGATTTTCCTGGCCCCAGGCTCAGGGAGGGGAGGGATTGGGACAGCCCCTGAGGGGCAGAATTTCAGTGTCTCTGTGCCCACCCTCCTCCCCGTCGTCACGTGCCCCTCCCCCATTATAAAGCTCTGCCCTGCCTGTGCCGTCCTCCCTTCCTCCCTCCCACTGAGTGAGTGGAGTTGGGCTCCTGTCCCTCCCCCAGGGAGCCTCCTCCCCCTCACCTTGGGGCCGGGCTTTCACCAGGGGAGGGGGCACATGACACCTGCCCCCTTGCTTGCCATTTCGGGCTCTTTCCCCTCCTTGCTCCACAGGGTGTGTCACTCCCCCCAGCACACCCCTCTCCGGTCTCAGCCCTCCTCAGTGTGCTGTGCCACAACTCCACCACCGCTACCGCTCCTGTTTCTGGCTTGCCTGTCTTCCCTCCTTCCTCTGTTGTCCCCTCCCTGATCTCTGCTGCTTTTTTGGGTCTGGGCCTTGACTGCTTTCTGCCTTTTTTCCCACCAGCCTCTCCCACCCCCTGTTCTCTCCCCCCATCACTCTCCTTCCTCCTTTGGCCCTTTGTGGCCTCCTGTGCCTCAGTCTTGCCCTTTGTTTCTCTTTGGTCTTCTCTTTTCTCCCTTTAAGTAACTTTTTTGCCCCCCCACCAAGGGTCACTCGAAGACCCTTTCTGGTCCAGGAGGATCGTGCGCAGCCAGGAGACCCCTTGCAGCCAGCAGGCTTCTGAGAAGCTCTGGTGCCCTGCCCTCCCCTGGTCTGGGCCTGGGCTCGAAGGGCTGTACAATGTCAGGGTGCCTCCACTGGCCTGACCCCTCTCTCACTCGGTGATTGGTCCTCTCCCCCGCCCAGGTTATGCCGCCGCCTTGTTGCCCTGAAAGCCACAGCTACAGCGAGAAGGGCTAAGGTTTGGCCATGAGCAGCGCCCCCCGGCGCCCCACCTCGGGCGCAGATTCCTTCTGCACTGTGAGTATTGCCAGCTGGCTGGGCCACCCTCCCATCCCTTTCCACCGGTGCTCTGGCCAAGGGTGAGGGTCTGCATCAAACAGGGGTATGCATGTGTGTATGTGCTTGTGTATGTGTGTATACAGAGACCTGGGAGGGAAGCTGGTGATGGACTTGGGAGGGACACTGCCATCCCTATTGGGGCCTTGCATAGCACACCGGGTCTGGGACAGGAATTGGTGGAGTGTCAGGCAGCTTCCAGTCCTTGGGAAGGAGTTGAGGCCCTATTTCCTGAAGACCCGGGCGGTTGTTCAGCCTCTGCAAAGGAGGAACTTTGGGAACCCTGGGTCTCTAACCTAGGGACATCACCCCCTCCCACCAACTGGGTCTTAGAGGCAGGGGCAGTCGGCTGCACGGAGTTTCTGGGCAGACCGCCCCAACCCCCGGCCCCACGTGCTACCCAGGCCCGCCCCTCCTGGCCCCCACGTGGCCAGCGCCCCACGTGGCCCCCTCCCGATTTTCCTGGGAAGGATAATGATTAACCCCGAGTGCCATAATCAGCCTGTTATTGGTCACTTTGGCCCAACGGGGCACGTGACCGGGAAGGGGCGCCGGCCAGTCCCCTCCCCCCTCCCCCGAGTTCACCCCTGCCGGCCATGGACTTCCTTCTGAGGCCTCAGGTGCGAGGGGTTCGCGACCCCCCTC